TATTAAATAAAGATATTTCAGTTTTACATAAAAACCGAAATATCTGAAAAATTTTATATCTAAAAAATATATATTTCCAGAAAATATATATTCCAAATTTCCAATATATTTTATTTGTATGTATATTTTTGTTTATATATATATATATATATATTTAAATATATATATAGGAGCAAAACCGAAACCGACTCAAACCAACTAGGTCGGTTTGGTCTATCAATGGGTCGGTTTCGGTTCCCACCTCAGGTAACCCGACCAGGTTGGGTTGGTTGGGAAAACTCCAATAAACCGACCCAACCCGACCCGTGAACACCCCTATCCAACATTTGTAGGAGTGGTCAAGATTGGATCTTGACACCAGTCTTTGCTGAAAGGCTGATAGGAAGTTGTGCTCACTGCCTCCATTGGATTCTTGCTGAAGAATTCGGTTCGTGGGATGGACCCTGCTGATTCTGCTCCTCCATCCACTGTGTCATCTTCAGTGGGAGCAGTCTTTGGTGATCTTCTTTAGGCGTGAACACCTCCATTGAGAGATATTATTTCTCTGTATCAGGTATATCCCTCTCCTCCTGTTTCGTTTCAAATCTGGTTTGATTCATGGTTCAAGGTTGATCCTTGAAAAATATGATTTTTCTAAAATAGAGAATACGATTCCTAGTTGAAGGGAGAGAAATTTTTGAAATTCGCCCACCCTATTCCGCAACTTGTGGGCATCCATGTGATGGATCTCTCATCATTTCAGAACTAACCCTTACAAGGTAGGTTAAAGGTTGTGCCTTAAAACCTAATCGAACTAACTCATTCTCCCTTGTAATTCATGAAAAGATATCTCCAATACAAGGCAGTAGTGTCATGGGTAGGGATCTAGGAAAAGTTTGTGGGTAGGTGATTCGGAGTGATACATCAAAATAAGGAAGATCAGTGCAAAATATCTCTTGCACTATTTGGCAGAACTTGCATGCGAATTAAATGTGGTCTCCAAGTTGTTCCCTTTTTTGAGTTTTTACCCAGAACTTGAGTAGTGAGGATTATAGGGATGTCAATGAATTGGGTTTGGTATGTTTTGGCCTCGATCTTCCAATGTTTCCACCCAATCCAATTCAAAAATGTGCAATTTCTGACTCCGCCCATACCCTATAGGGTTAGACTTGATACCATTCCGGCCCAAACCTGCCTTTCAATCGTTTCTTTTTACAATATATTTTGAAGATTTAAAAATCATTAATTTAAGTTTAAATTTTTTATAGGTTTTAAGGTGTCACTTTCTTTATTAGTAAAAGAAAAAAGAATTAAAAAAAAAACATGAAAGTAAATCCTAAACTCTAAAATTATAGAGTTAAAAATCATAGAAACTAAAACTAAACTCTGATTATAAATAAATAAATAAATAAAACCCTAACTCGATCCTATAGCAAAAGTAACGCTAACCCCAACTCAACCCTATTGATAAGGTCAACGTGGATTTACCATTTAACCCAACCAATTGACGTCCCTATTGGGAAATCGGCATCAAGCCAAATGCTAGCTAAAGGTGGCAAGTGGGCAAAAACAAAATGTTGGACAGGAACAGTTCATGCTTTTTGAGGTTTAGCAGCCTCGCAAATGCTTAGTTACACACACACAAAAAAAAAAAGTTTGAAAATGCCATTCCCATGTCAAATGCACGAAATTAGGGATTCGCCTACATAGGACTGGCATGTTATGATGATGGTCCTTGTGACTGTTAGATCACAAAAAATCTAATTGTCTGTAACTGTAGTGAAGTTCCTCTTTCTATAATGCATAGATCATCCTCATGACGATCATCGTTTTAATTCTTATCCCAACCATTCGGCTCGGTATTTTTACATTGCTTTATTTTTAGGGTACGCTTGGTTTGTAGGAATAGGGGTCTGAAATTTGAATCCAAACCATTCTAATTTCAACTGTTTGATTGACATTTCCAGTTTTGAGAAAATTCACTCAGGAGATAGGAATCTATTTCAGTTAATTTTGATTTCAGAGGATTTCGATTCTCATTCCAACTGAGAATCAAATGGACCCATTCATCATTAAATTATTAACAATTAAATCATTAATTATTACTTTAATCCGAGTACTTTTTGGTCTATACTTTCTAACCCCTTCGATTTGCAAGTTGCAACAAACTTGAACGTCTGACCTGCTGCAAGTTTTTCTCTTTCTTGCACTAAGCAATCATTGTGTGATAGTTATCTCCTTGATATTTAAATAGTAAAGGCCACTTTCTCCGCGTGAGAGTAATCGAGTTTAACAGTATTACATTAAACAAAGTCCCTCGGACACCTATTACAAGTCCGGAGGGGGAGTGTGGGTAGAGTTCTTGTAGACAGAAGATCCGCAGTCACCTGTTACAGGCCAATTGCCTAAACTTCAGCCCAGTGGTTGAAAATTTTAAAGGAGTTAATTTGCAAGGGATTTAATGAACATTAATATACGGAACTAAATTAACATTAAATTGAAGAGTCAATAGCTGGATTAACATAGCATCTAATGAGCAATATGTATCAATTTATTCCGGTTGGTATAGGGTTGTCAATGAATGGAACAGGTCTACCCAATGGATCCAAAACCGATCAAACCAATTATTTATTGTGACTTTGGATCCGTTCTGATTCTTGTATGTCTCAAACCAATTCAGACCTTGAACCGATTATTTTATTAAATATACAGTATTTTATTAATTTTTTATAATTTTAATCATATTTTATATTTTAAATGGTAAATTTGGAATTCGGATTCAGTCCTCACAGAATTATCTTCATACCATGCTCACAGTCATTTGCAGATGTGCGCATAGGGAATATCTCCCCATCCCATGAATAAAAACAAAGAAATGCAGAGGTGTTCCCGATGAACGGCTCCAAAAGGTTGTGAGGACAGTTCTGTGAGGACTGAATCCGTACTTATAATTTTGATAGAAAATAAATAATTAATTTCTTAACATAAATAATTTAATATTTTTCTATCATTTTTACTAAGATTATATTATCAATATTTAAATTGTAAGTTATTATTTAAATAAACAAGTATAGTTTTTCAGCAATGTTTTAAAACCAAACCCAGAAACGAACCGTCTTTTCCTCCAGATAATGGGTAAACGGTTAAACATGTAATAATGTTTTTAACAGTTAGATTTGGAACATTGAATATCATCCTTTTAGATCTAGGCTTGCTGAATATATAAGAAAATATGAGGGGCAGAGAAGGGAGAAAGAGTTTAACAGAGGGAGGAGAAAGGCTAATTAGCCATAGCTTGCAGTGGCTCTTCAGTGGTTACAATAGTACCATGACAACACTTCGTATCTTCAGGGAGTAAGAGCAGAGAGAAGCAGCAGCAGTTGAATATCATCATGCCTAGAGACATTTCTGCCCAACTCACGCCGGCAACACCTCTCGTACTCTCTAGCGGTTGTGTAACAGAGGCAACAGATCTATGACAGTTGCATATCAACAGTGGTGGGAGAATGTACTTATTAGATTATTATGAATAGAAATAAGATATAAAGAATGATGGTTTCTGTAAAAAGAAGCAAAGGGTTGCTGTGAAAAGAAGAAGAAGAAGAGAAGGCGAGGGAAAGAAGACTAGGGTTTTAGACATCATGTTTTGAGTTGAGCGGACCGTGACCCACAAACGGTTCAAGCGGTTTACCAGTTTAACTGCATGTATCAATGGTTTTCTCTCAAATACTGGGTTTAGGATGAAACAGACCCGCTTTTTTGACCGGGTGACAGTTGAACAGTTCAACTGGGCAGGTCAATAGCGGGTTGAAAACCTTCAGTATAATCAGGTCTATTGGATCTAGACTCAATACACCCAACTATTATCCAAGATGGTTCCGTCCTCCGGGTCTATATTTTGTCTGTACTAATAATCGGTTCAGGACTGATTCTACCTAGACAAGCCCCAAACCCAACTTGATTCATATCAATCAATACATAGTGAAGGGATTTCAAAATAATAATAATAATAATAATAATAATAAAATGATTTAAACACCTACAATTTAACAACAGAATTATAATCCAAACGATAAAATAGGATTCATGTAACCAACCCAATATAATTGGAACAAGACTTAGAAGAAGATGAAGATGATGCAATTATAAACATATTTGTATAATATGCTATATTATATTTTGTACAAGGTTTAAAGTATCGACACATATCGACGGATACACATCGTTTTGGAACCCTCTGATACGCCCCTATAGTGGGTGTATCGGAGGTCTGACCGGTTCAGGGGGTGGAAGAGCCCTAAACCAGCCCCCCTGAAATGGTTCCAAAATAATTAAAAAAAAAACAAAAAAAAGTATCAATTCGCCCGATACACACGGTAGGGCGTATCAATATTTTGAACCTTGATTTTGTATAATATATTACTAGTCAAGACTCGGTATGTTATCATAAACTTTACATATTTTATTTCTAAAATAAAATATAATGACGATAATATTATATGACATGGAGGGGGAGGGATACGTGAGACTCATTGTGAATGATAAATTTTATCTCTAAAATCTAAATTTGGCACCCACATTATTTCAAGGAGAGTTGACCTCAAACCGATAGCTGTATTCAATAACAAAATGGTAGTTGAGCTAATTTTACAAAGATAAAAATAAACTGATCACCCTTTTAAAGAGGCGAGCCTCTTGTTAAAGGCTTTTTTCCAACTTTTTTTTATAACTAGCTTTGGCAAATTTGATAGACCTGTTCTCAAACATTTTACAGATAGCAAAATAACTAGAAATTTATAAATTCAGATTATAGCTTAGAGAACAGGACGATGCGAAATTATGACAGTAATTACAATTTAATTACACAAAGAGAGCCACCTCCAGACTCCCTTGTTTCTCAACCTATTTCCAAATACCACGTCTTACCATTCTTCTATTTCATCGTTGTCATCTTCTCCCATAGCCTCAGTGTCCAGATCATCCGAACTTTCCCAATCAGAACCGTCAATTTCCATCTTGCTGCTCATAAAAAATTCCTGTGTAACTTGACCCTCTGATGCTTTCAGACCAACCCACTTTAGCGCAGGTGTTAACTCAGTAGCCGTTACAGACATGGTGTAAGAGTTCAAGCTACTGCAAGCTTCAAACCTATTTCGTGCAAACAAGGTCTGCAATTGCAAATTCTCAATTATCAAAACAAACAAAAATGTAAAGTATCAGAGACCTACGTGTTCATTGGATTACATGATTTGATTAGTTGTTCAGGATTGCAGATACCTACCCAACCAAATGAATGGTGTGCTGCCTGCCAATTGGCAAACATGCGCATTCTCGATGCTACTACCGTACGTATGGCTCAACTATGCATCAAACTCGACTATTCAACGAGTGGGGACCCTCTTGGACCAAAGTCAATCACATCCGCCCAGTCCACTTATCCCAATGACTAGTCCCAAATCAAATGGGTATAACATGATTCATACGATTTTTAGATCATCAGCCTAATGGGTTTCCCACACAGAGTATCCATATTAATATGAACCCCAACGAGTGTCTATTTCCAAAACAAAATCCTTTTAGGCAAATACATATTTATACAATTTGGTTGCCCTTCCAAAAGGGAAAATAACCGAGACGGAAGAAGGGAGGGCGAGCCAGTATTACAAACAAATTAATGAATTATAATTGATTCAACAAAGCAAAGGAAAATTCCATGAGTGATATTTCACCCACCTTATTGCGTTTTGATGATTGTTCAACCTGCCAAAGCTTTGGGCTTCGAATAGAGTGCCACCTGCTGATCACAAGTACTAATGATTATGAACCAGCCATCGTTCACATAATACAAAAAAGAACGCATAAAAGCATACCTGGAAGGTGAGGGATGTGAATTTCCAAATAGCACACCACGTACAGCAACCGATGCAGCAGCTAATTGTGCAATGTTTTCCAACTCGTATTTGCTAGTTATCACTTGAGGCGAAGTAGCCCCAGACAGATGAGTAGAAAGAAGGCAGTCTGCATCACTTAAATAAGAAGCCACAGCCCATGCATCTTCTACTGCTTCATCACTTATAAAATCCAGAACTGCAGAAAAAGAAAGGTCGAAAAGATTATAGGAAACTGCAGAAAAATCCAACAAAATGGCAACAGTGCTGACTAACTTCCCTTTCCTGCATCTTGATAGATAACGGATTCCAATTATCTAACTCAGTTGCCAAGTTCAAGCATTATTTATTAGTGAACAAAGAAAGAAACCCAATATACTATACAATGATAAGGTTCAAGCTTTAGCATGAAAAGAAAATGGAAGACCATTACAACATCTAGGATCTGTTGCAAAATCACAAACGCCCTAACAGGCCTATTCACAGTTATTGGGTTGTTTTAATCCTCCCTGTCCAGTTGCATTAAGGCCCCGTTCACTTTTTGGTAAGTCACTTACCCGGGTAAATGCAGTTACCTGGGTAAGAGTTTTTCCTGGGAAACACTTTTATCTAGGTAAGTGCATTTACCCATGTTCTTTTATTTCACATGTAAATAAGGCAATGACCATTTTAGCCATAAAAATCCATTATTAAAAAGGGCATTTTTGTCCCATTCAAGTGTTGGCAACTTTCCCCCTAGGTGGGAAAGTTACTTACCCACCTAGGAGATGGGTATCACTTACCCGCAGGAAAATAAACTTTCCCTGGTCCCCACATAAATCTGAAAAAAGAACATGGGATTCTTGGTCAATGGGAACCAAAATTCCATTGACCAACTTTCCCCCCTCTCAGAATCCGAAAAAAGAACGCCCCCTAAGAGGTTACATGGGCTAAATAAGTGACCATCAAAAGTGAGGGGTATATTCAAATCAAGAATTATAATAACAGGAAACTTACAGATTATAATAGGCTAGGATTAGAAAATGGTGGAAAAAAATAGGGTAGGATTAATAATTGGATACAATTTTGCAAATGGACAGCACCAGTGTGTTAGAAATCAGAATGACTCGTTCAAGTCTCTAAAACTGGTGATAGTATCATAGGATACATTTCTAGGTCAATTTGAGATTTGAACTGAAATGGCACAAAACAGGAAGATACTGTGCAAACTAGTTGTTTTCTGGAAGCCTGTGTAAGCTGGCACCCCATATAAACTAACTGTCAAGTGTCCATGTCAACATTAGAGATGTACCAAGTTCAGAAGAAAGAGAAGGAAAAAAAAGGCATAAAGATTAACTTGTTGATCATAAGATGCATGTGTGGGTGAGGGAGGATAGATTTTGAGAGGGAAAGAAAACATGTCCACTATTCTGCACAAACAAAGGATAGATTTTGAGAGAAAAACAGGGTTTTCTAACTTTTTTGTTCTATATGGACTACAGAAGTTGCAAATTGCAATTCTGCAACCACAAAGCTCTGGAGTTATGATTATGTTTGGTACTGAGTGTTTCAAGCCTCAACAAAGGTACTTAAATTTAGCAATGAAAATTGGGAAAGTGTTTTGGCACATAGCTTCCTTGAGTGCCAAAAGCACAGTTTTTATGGCAGACATTCCCCTGATAGGAAAAATTTCCCTTGGGAAATCACAAGCTTCCTTAAGTGCCAAAATCACAGTTTTTATGGCAAGACATGCCCATAATAGACAACATTGCCATTGGGAATTCACAAGTTATGATACTCAGATAGCTGGGTTCTTGGGAGGAGTGGACTGGATACAGAACTAACCTTTGTCATTTTTTTTTTCTGCATAAAGTGGGTACTCTCAGACTAGAACCTGCATTCTTATGCTTGTCAGACTGAGATTTTACCATTACACTAAACAATGACCTCTGATGCTGTATCATGTAGGATACTTTAATTTAGTGTAAATCCCAATATCCCATATTGAAAACCTTGTCCAGCTATGTCCTTGCCATGTCTAGGTAACATAGAACACAGGAAAACAATGATTATTTGCTCTTAGGCAGAGACCTTTTTTTCTGACAGTCCATGATGAAGAAACTAAGCATAACATATATTGAACAAGTGTTCCTTATAACAAAACTAAAGAGTACATGGTATCATCCCTTGCAAACAGTGATGAACACATCGTTACAGGAAAATATACATACAGTAAAAGATGATCACCATTTTCATGTAAGAAATCAGCTATTAGCCTTGCTTTTCCATGTGCTTGAGAAAGGACCTTCTCTGGAGCATCCATTTTCCATGGTAGCCTCACTAATTTCTCCTTTAGAAGAAAGTGATCTTGTCCTACAATATGACAACATAAAATAAAAGAATTACTACAAGAAAACAATTAGAAGATGGTTCAACAAGGGACAACTTTCTGATCAATAACATACTCTGGGACCACATGACATGCTATATGCCCCAAACTCAAATAATCAGGACCCACCGATCAATGGGTCCTATCATTGAGATTAACTGACAAGATCAGCTTCAGATATAATTCTAAATGTGTGTTTTTATTGCAAATATTTGAACAATGGAGATAAATCAGATGGTTTAAACCAATCTAATCCTCCTCATTTTATAATTAGTCCCTTCCACAAGTCCTGATTTTCTGAATATCTAACAAGTGGGAACTGGGAAGTTATGACAGCCCTTGACCACAAAATATGTGTCAAACGGCCCCAATTGAATAGGTTGTGAGGAACTCGGACACCATACCAGAATTTTAGAGTGAAAATTAGTTAATATTTAACTACCTCTGACAGGATTAAATAAAATGCTATGTGGGTGGCTGGCTGAATGGGTTGTTTGACAATAGGATTTGGTTGTATGCATGTGCAACCCCTTTTCTTTCTTTTGTGTGTGCATGTTTGTGTGTGGCATGTGGCATAGGAGCCTCCTTCAATGAAACCAATGTAATGGTTACCCAGGCCCCTAAACAAGCTCCAGATGCATGGCCAAATCCATCATCAATGAATATCAAATTGTGTATTATAGAAAATTAAAACCTTTCAACATACAAACAACTTTCATTACTACATACCAAAGCCAGTGCCCTCTACAGCTTCTCTCTTATTGTGAAGAAACTTTCCCAAGGCATGAAATAGAGAAAGTGTCTCATCTCTGCCACGTAGTAAAGAAAATCCATCATCCAATGGACCAAACTCCAACTTTTCCTTTGAATGACTGGTAGACAGAGTGGATAAAGGAAAAGAATGCATCAGGCCTGGTCTTAGGCAGAAGTACTGTAAGGATGTAATTGCATGTCTGATGTCACCTCCACTGGATCTTGCTATCTGATCTATCTGCTCAACAGTCACATTGCACTGCTCTTCCTTGCATATTCGTGAAAGAATCTTCTTGATTGAATTTACGGTAACAGGGTTAAAGGTTATCTGAAAGAAGTTCCACATGAACAAGTTGAAAATGATAGTAATAGCTAAAGCTTTATAGTTTCCAAAGTTGAGCTCATAATTCCAGTCAAGTTGGTACAAGAGTCACCACCTTAGAAGCCCCAGCACTCTCCAGAGATGACTGGAGTTCCTCCCAATCGAGTGTTGTATTGTCACCAGATTCGACTTTAGCATACTCAGTGATCAATATAACAGTTGGAATCTGAGTTGATCGAGCAAGAACAAACAAGCAGTTGCAAAGTCTCTTGTAAGCAACTCTTCCATTCATCAGGGGCAGATCATCAATTAAGAGTATAACTGGTTTTTCTGATGCACCCGTTAAGGATAGTGGCAGCAATGGATACTTTCTTACTCTCTCAACAAAAGATTCAAATTCATCCAACTTTGACATGTACCGGACCCCTAATAATGTACAAGTATAGTTAAAAGCAACAAGGTAAGCACTAAGAAATTAAAAACACCACCATGTACAACTTTAATGCCACAAGAACAAACAATACCGATGATGGTACCAAAAAGGTATGATACCTAAATCTATATTTGGCTAAAATTCTGCTCAAAAGAATAACATTATTTTGAGAATGAGTTCAGAGCTAAAAAACGATTGTTTTGGGAGCCAAATTTTTTAGCTTCAAAGAGTCAATTCTTAGAATGAGTTTCGAGGCAAGAAGAAAATTAGTTCCAACAAGTTTCACAAATTCAAACTTAAAAGTGATAACCAATCAACAGGCAATGGTATCATCCAATTGGTAACCAATCAACTGATATTCATCCAAATTCGCGTGGGTTTCTAATTGGTTAAAGTTTTTCAAGTACCAGTTCCCCTGTCTATATGACATAATTAAGAGAAAGGAAAAGCTCGTGAAATTCATCTTCAGGAATGAAAAATAGATGAAAATTTTGGTCAAACATATATGGTATGGCAAAAATATAGGTCGAAAATGGATATATTTAATATGTATTTGAAATATATATGTAGGATGAAATATTTTGCATCTTTTTGCATGTATCAACTATTTGCAATAAATAATAAATAAAACATAGATCACATTCCTTTGGGACATGGCCTAGTAACTTGACATGTGGACACACAGAGGGTTGAGCCCATTATTTGACATAACACATGCAAGAGTTTACATCCAAGAAGTTTTAAGCTAATAATCCCCATCATCTTATATAACAAGTTGTCTTTGAATAACCATAAATATCATGGAAATTGTCTTCATAACCATATAGATGACCTGGGTAAGTAGGTATGATCGCTGAATCATCCCATTTGCATGAATCACTTGACAGAAGTTGTAGACAATTCCTAGATGAACTGCCGATCCCTTTATTAGTAAAAATGATTCATTTGAAATACCTGAATTGACATTATGCATGTATTCTTGCCAAAGAGTAGGTGTAGGGGTATTCCATTCGCATAATCTTGCTCCAAGATGAGCTGCAATTGCATGGATAGTTGCCTGCAAGATAGATTATGGCACCCTCATGGATAAAAGCCTATAGTGCTGAGAGAAGATTTTAACCTGACACAAAAGCATAAATATGCACATAGTGTGATGACATGACATTTCAAAGGATAACTGGGATGAAGTTCCAAATATGTACCTCAACATAGAGAAGAAACCATTATCCCCCCCCCCCAAAAAAAAAAAACAAGAAATTATGAATCAGAGTGTGTTAAATCCAGAAAACTGAGGCTAGAATAAATACATTGGGAGACAAGCTTTTATAGAAGCATACTAATAGGTGCTAAGGAGATTCAAACTACAATAGCAAAATTTAAGTGGATGGGTATAGCATAACTAATAAAGTACTGTTGAGGGGAGATATGAATAACACAGACATGTAGAGAAAGAAATAGCTCCACCAAGTTATATATGTAATTTACAGGATTTTGCAGCCAATGTAAAATGAAATCAAGATGCATGTATTCCGAAAACAAGGCTGCTTCTATTAAGAAGTTGGTTCAACAGATAAAAATAAGAAAGGAACAAGCCGAAGTCTTCTTGGAGTAGCTTTTAGGCCTAGTAAGGACGAAAATGTTCATCCTCCCACTGGGCATAATACAAGAACATAATATTAGATAAGATGTCAATATTTCATAAGGATTGAATATGATGACTTGAATAAGCTTCCCTGAAACAACCTTCAAGGAGGACCTTGACTTGATAAGATGCCAGACAGCACTCAGTTATTATTTCAAGTGAAGAAATGCGTGACTACCATGTGCAAAAGAGAAGCAACTTCTGATAATAACAATTGAGAAGGCTAAATTGATTAGCCTTTGAAGTAGGGAAAACATACAGATTTTCCTATTCCAGCTTGTCCAGTAATCAAAAGAACACAGTTACACACTTTGTCCTGTAAAAAGAAAGATTCTATAAGAATTTTGGCTACAGATAGTTGATAAAGAGAGAGAATATTCAAGAAGCAATTATAAAGGGTTATAATTGAAACATGTGTACCCAAAATTTTGGCTGAGGTGGCAAAACATCATTAAACATAAACAACTAATTGCAATTCTAACATCATCTAAGCCTTTTCCTAACTATATGGGGTCAGCTACATGAATTCTGTTTTTCTATTACATTCTCCTCAGTGACACATGCATTGTTAAACTGTGAGCCTTAAATCACTTCTCAGTTCTCACTACTTCAACCTTTACCCTTTTTGGCCTGCCCAATCTCTTCTAGTCCCTCCAACTTGTAACAGATCACTTCTTTTCACATGTATAATTTACAAGAAAAATAAAATTTCAAATGGTATATGGAACATCATTGAAGTTAGCAATGCCAGGGAAAATTTTCTTTCCCACCACCACAAACATTAATGACTGTTGAAGCATGAACAAGGCATGACATTGATGCATATGGGGTGAAGCATGAATTTTCCTCTTCCTTTTTGGCTGTAAACTTTTTTGAGGATATTTGAATACTTGCGGATTGTACAGAATCTCATTATACAGACCCTTTTATTTTTGTTACACTTTTCAATACAAATATACTTTACCTTTTCAAAACAGGGCATGACATTGAAAACTGACTATTAGGACTCAAGATTAATTATTTAATTAGAAAAGGATGACGAGACAAAGTACAAAACAGAGACAAATCATTGGGCCACACATCTGCAAGACATTGTATTTTAATTGTTCATAAAATTCAAATCAGATTAACTAAATTGTTTCTTTAGTTTTATTCACTTCAATTTTAACCCCTCTGGTACAACATGAGAATGCCTGTACATTGTTCCTTCTATGTAGGTTTATGCATGTTAGGCCTAAACAAACTAACAATATTTCATTACCAAGCTTCTAGTAAGCTTTAGGAGTCTAAACCTTTAAAACATAGATGCTTTGTCCTACACATTTTATGGGAAGTCAAATCTTGAGCTTATAACAATACTAGCATGTCAAAAGTTGTTTGAACTTTTGACCTACACGTTGACTTCATATAGACTCACTTCACCATCCATGATTGGGCAACTAAAGGTGGAAGAACATTGCCATTTCACAGTTCAAGCCTACTATAACTAAACCAGTTAACAATGTTCCAAAGGCTGCATTTGGTTGCAGTGCAATTTTATTTGAACTAGTACAAATGCATGGGAGTGCAAATGAAAAGAATGCAAATTCTGGTTTAATTTTGTTTTGGGTTTTAATTATTCTGCTTCAAGTCTTATTTTACTTCATTTGTACTGCAATCAAACAAAATAAGGTAAATTTTGGAATAAAAATAAATCATAATTTACACCGAAATCATTTGTACTACCATGCTTTTGCATCAGTGCAAATAAATCTGCATTGCAACCAAACACAGCCAAAGGAACAAATCTACAACTTCACAAGATATTTAACGACTGCTCAGTAGGTCTTAACCAACATTGTCATTTTCTTTGCAAGTGATCTACAAAGAAGAACAACCACAAAGTGAAAATGTCAAATCTTCATCTCAAAATGGAAAAGTTCAAATAAGTAGGCCCCACAAAGTATGAAAACCTTATTTTTTGATAAAAGGTAAAGTATATTGTATTGTATTAGTGTCAAAACCTTTTCACATTCTGTAAGCTATAAAATGTAGCTTTCAAAATTGAGGAATATTTGAGGTATCAAAATGTCTTGATTTCAAGGCTTGACAATAAAAATGTTAACTACAGACATATTTGAGTGCTTTTGAGTCATCCCAACTTCTAAAAATGAAGAAATTGGTAATTACTAAGGTCAGCAAACAACCCCACATTTGTTTTGTAGATTGAAAGTAATTTCGCTTTATCTTCACTCTTAACAAATAAAATATCTGGGCTTAGGGGAAATGCAAAAAAAAATCATGAAAGTAATTAGAATAGTTCTTATTTAATATCAGTTTAAAAGAATACACATTATGATGACAAGTAGAGGTGGGAACATGAGATACATATTGGAAACTTTGTAGTTTTTATGACAAAAACAATAACATGAGTAGAGATGAGGATAAGGGAATTTTTTTCTCCTGTGTACATGTGTGTGTGTGTGTGTGTGTGAGAGAGAGAGAGAGAGAGAGAGAGAGAAGGTTAGGAGGTTAATAGGAGGATAAACTGATAAAGAAAATGGGAGAAATTTTATGAGATAAAATTAAGAGTGTCCACATTAGCTTTTCTCGGGTTTACAAGCCTGAGAACATGGGTCAAATCTGAGAGCAGTCAATTTGTGCTCAAAAAAGAAAGAAGAAAAAAACTAAAGGGCATGTGCATATCCAGTTCACTCATCCCAAGACCTTAGATAGAAGGGACCAACATTGGGTAATGGCTAGTAATTTAAAAGGCATGCCTTCATTGCACCTAGGTGCACAAGACAGGTGCATTTCAAGGTCTGCGACTTGCCTAGGCCCAGGGCAGCACCTTCAGAAAGGCATGTGCATGGTGCTCCTTGTACCTCAGCCCAGGCGCCTTGCCTAGGCCTAGGGCACCACCTTTAGAACTTTTTCTTATTTTTGAACTTTAGTATGTTTTTTGAATTTTTCTTTTTTTTTTTTTTTTGAAAATTTTTGTGACTCACTTCAAAAAGGTGCACGCCTCACCTTGCACCTCAGGCACAAAAAGCCCCATGTGCTTTTAAAACAATGTGCCCTAATAATACATTGTACATACCAAAGAAAAAAAACGATCATGGTTGATAATTTTTTTAGTTTTTGCCCCTGGTATTCTCCTTATAGTAGTATAGATTCATGAACCAAATTTGCTAATCTCCCCAAGAAAACAGAAGAAAGAAAAATCATTACCATGCTTAGAAATTTTGTATCACAAATCTTTTTTCTGGTATGCTAGTTAAGAAAATAAATACATATCAAAAGAAAATTGAATATATATATATATATATATATATATCCTAACAATTACATGGTTGATGAATTGTTAGATTTTACCCCTGGCATTCTCCTTACAGTAGTATAGTATCTCAACCGCTCCTCCAGCCACATTTTTACTACTTCAACCTGCACATAGGCACAGGAAAATCAACATAAAATTCACATTCTGCATGGTGCATAGTAAAATAAGAAAATACATGGAAAATAACTTTCAAGTTTATTAATAACGAACAGAGAAAAAAGGCCAAAAAAGAACATCAAATGGCATAAAGCTGTAACTACATGGAAAGTCTGAAAACAGGCACATCCAATGTTTCACTTGCAAATATGAAATTAAGTATAAAGATGTACAAAGGTTCTAAGGCCCACAAGATAATCATTATTGTATACCACCCTCTGCACCCAAAACAGTATGCAATTAAATAAAAGTTCCTCCAACTAAGACCACTAAACTCTGTTAGAGCCAAAAGCCCAACCTGCTAGAAAAACAACTCAGATCTACACAAAGATGCACACAAAGGTGCACAAAGGACCTTTAGCTCCTATTGAAAATCTGATCTCTTTCCTTCCAAATACTCCAGCATGAATAGGAGAGAGACACAAAAATCCCCCAAGTCAGAAGCTCCCTGACAAAATAGAAAAGATGAGTGCATTTTGAAAAACATATTTAAACATGGATCATCAATTAGGAACCTGAACACATTTATCTATTTAAAATCACCTTACTCCACCAACACTCCAACAAAATAGAAGATAAAAATAAAATTCCAATCATCACATAAGACCCATCTCATCAACCACCTAACCTCAAAATCTCATTTGACACATCCCACACATTACAGTTCCAAAAAAAAAAAACAAAAAACAAAAACTCACTAAGATGTTCCTGTACATCTCTGGATAAACAGTTTCCAATGACCTTATTCAATAAGTCATGCAGTTTATCCAAGATTTATTAGTTCATCTTCTAAAGATGCTCCTCATCTCATCATTATCCCATAGTTTTTTTCAAAAATATATGAAAAATATATTTTTATTTTTTTTGAAAAGTAGGATTATGTACATATGTACCCGTGTATTTGTACATACTACAAAAATGATGTGAATACACCTGAAAAACATTTAGAAAATTAATAAACAATATTGGTGAATGCCTTTGTATCATTCTGTTTCTTCTCACTATATTTTATAATAAAAAAAATAAGAAAGTATGGCATTTTTCTGAATAGGTTTTGGTATATATGGGGCATTCCTTCCAGAGTATTAAAATTGTGACTTTGTGAGGAATTAAAATATTCTTGCCTTGTTTTCGACATCAACGCAGAGGAGCCATTTGATAACAGCTTAAGTGGCTGAACTGAACTGCTCATTGCTTTGTCTTTTAGTGCACAATTCATTAAGGAGGTTGTTGAAAGAAAAATGGTTTCTATCATTTTTAATGGGTGTGGGGTTTTTTGTATATGCTACAATGTATTTTTGTATAACATTTTGTAAATCCCCTCTTTGAGAGTGCCTCACCCTCTTTTACAGATCTAATACAATATACTTTTTGATACCTTTCAAAAAGAATTAAGGAGGTTGTTGGCTCCTTAATAGATGAAAATGAATTTGGGATTATTATTATTATTATTATTATTATTATTATTATTATTATTATTATTATTATTATTATTATACCTTCAAATATTTTATTATTAAATTATTTTATCCACCAAAATACAAAGCAATAAGTCATTTGGTTCAGCCATTATCAAGGAGCACCTAAAATCAGATTATAAAGATGAGTATCTTCAGGTTATATTGACTATTTATTATCAAAGAGCACATATGCATGGCCTACCAGACTAATATATTGGCCAGGGATCACTAGACAAATGATATGGATAAAACCTGAAGGTTCTAATAGATATACCTACTAACATAGAGCTACTTTTGCTCATTAGAGCATAGATAACAGTTCATCTATTTAAGAAATAAAAATTAAGAGGAAAAAAACTAACAAAGCATAATAGCCATAACATATTAACCTTTTTTCTGTGAACAGAAAGCTCTGACAAGGATAGAGGTCTATATTTGTCCACCCATAGCTTGTTTGTGTTTCTATTTTCAGCACCTGGTTCATTTTTTAACTCAAAAAGATTAAGGATAAATGTCAATTATTCATAAAATTAAGAATCAAATGAGAAGCTACATCTTTCCATTTTTCCAAGTAAGACAATGCAAGAGAGAAAGGGAACAACAAGAACTTGTAGTATTTAAATTTGAGGGGAAAATGATAAAGATAAAAAACACAGTATGAAAGCATTGAAAATTAATAAAACTCTACAACAAAAAATCCACACAAACTTGCAATAAAGGAAGGAAATCATTTTAGATGGAATAAAATTTCAAATAGAAAGGGAAAATGCAGCACGGAAAGTCTCTTGAGCAGACTGGTTGGCATAGCAAACTGTGTATCGTTTTCTTCCATTTAAGATAGGCAATCCATGTAAGTAATGAGGGGTAAATTAAAACAAAACAAAAATAAAATAGAATTTAACATGCACCCAGTGATTTAAAAGGCTTGCCTCAGGCGCACCTAGGCGCACAGGCGAGGTGCATTTCAGGGTATACACCTCGCATAGGTCCTAGGCGCAGCCCTTTCAAAAGGAGCACGCTTGGTGCGCCTAGGCGTGTGCCTGATGCACCTTGCGCCTCAGCCTAGGCATGCGCCTTTTGAAAATTTGACGCTTTTTTGCTTTCTTGAACATAGCGGCTGGGCGTGTGCCTGATGATTTTATAGTTTTAACGCTTTTTAACAAGATATTTTATTTGAATGAATGAATGAACAACATTACCAAATTGGGGGTTCTCGGATTTTTTGTGTGAGAACTAAGAATTTAAGACCTAGCATGAACTTGTTTGGGCTTGCCTCGAGGGGCGTGGCACAAAGGCGGCTCGTAGAATCAGGAATGTAATATGTTTTACATTACATTAGCTACTTGAAGTAATGCAATTGAGTGAAAAAGGAGATTAGAGGTTTTATATGTTTGATTTTATTTTTAAATTCTCATTTGAATATGCTTTACATCTTATGTTTATGTATTTTAGTTTTAGATAATAGGTTTTTAAAACATTTATTTTAAAAATTAAGTTTATATTTTTTATTAATATTATGTTTAATATTTGTTTGGCATTTTTTTGAATTTTCTGACATTTTTTTGTATTTTTGCACCTTGCTTCAAAAAGGCGCATGCCTTGCCTTGCCTTGCGCCTTGCGCCTCAGGCGCAAATTGACCCCTGCGCTTTTAAAACACTACATGCACCTTTTTATTTGGTGCCAGTTTGTGACTTTGATGAAACAGTAGTTAGCTTCTAGGATTTGAATATTCAACAAGAGAAAACATGGAATTGATTAGACAAAATAAACTAAATGATTAGAATAGCTTTTGACATGCAAATGGCTTAAGGAGTATGACACCACAACATCATGATTCTAACTTAATATGAACAGGGTAGTAGACCTGTGATGGAATCTTTCAAGTGCTTAAACAAGAGAAACAAAAAAAAAGGATCAGTTTAACTGTTTAAGTACATGTTTATTTTTTAAGCTGATCTTTCCATATCTAAAGTGTAAGACCAAGCAAGGTGAGACATCAAGGAAAATGGCAGCAGAATTAGAGAAAAGTGGTCACAAAATTCAAATATAATGAAAAAAGTAGAAATATCAATATTGGCATACCACTGACAACAGTAAAGCCTTGAAGGCCTTCGTGAAAGTCGTCATAAAGTGCATCAAAACTAACCTGAATCACAAATAATTACATATAAGCATCAATTTGAAGTTAAGAACACTAACAAACTTACAATAAGACAGGATATATGAAAACCCGTTCAGGTTTGTAGACGAAAACTTAATATGGAAAAGCATATTTTTTCAATTTAGAAAGTTACTATTCTAAGTGTCAAATTAGTCTAAGTTAGAATAAGAGGATGGCCTGCCACTGGAGAAAGGGGATACACAAGAGACACCAATCACCAAATCCTACCTTATGGATGTCTGTGGCACTGCGACCTATCCACATATTTCTGGATCTTTCGTTCTATTCACTTAGCAAAGGCGAGATGGGAAAGGGCTTCTATCCAAAAGAATCTAGGCTATTACCTTGTTATCCTGTCATTCTGGATGTTCTTTTTATCAACAACAATACATAAATACAGTGTTTGCACGATGGGGTTAATCTAAAAATATCATGGTATGAATATTTAAAAGTTACTTCGTTTTAGTAAATGCAGATTTAGCGCCATTACATTTTGAACAGATATATCCAGAACAAACGCTTTCTACAAACCAACCGTAGAACAAAATAAAGAACAAAAGAGTAGGGGGGGTTCACTCAAATTTGTCATAGGCATATTGAATGTTGCTATTGTAACCGAATACCATTTATCGGTATGTCACGAAAATTAAATGCAGAGGAAACGAATTGATCGATAGATGTAGAAAACAAGCATACCTCTTCTCCTCCACGGGATTCGGTAAATAATCGTGAACCAGAACCTGAAAGTCGGGCCCTCTTAGAACTTCTGGAATTTCTATGAGAAACAGACTGCAATGATTTCGACTTTGAAGAGCACCACTTCGCGCTTCTTGAACGAGCTCCATCCTCATCGTCAGACGAAGAAACAATAACCACATGCCCTTTCCCCATCACCTCCACGAGCAAACCCTAATTATCCGATTCTAGCATGAACTAGCTCGCCGATAACGACCCCTATCATAATCTGAACACATGAATAAAACAAGCTCTATTAGTCAATTATTTCCACCAAAACTGAGCAACACAGAAACAAACTCATCGAAACCCATAATCTGAAGAAAAAAGAAGTGTCATCTGTAGCCAGAGAACAAAAACACGAACTAAGGATAACGAGTTCTGAAATTATGACAACGATAAAAATAAAACAGAAATTTGAATAAGAACAAAGAAGCATGTCAACATAATTTGATCATTATTGACTATATCGAAAATGTGAAAGATTGACCTGCATCCCCACCGATTTTAAAGTTCTGTAGTTCGGGAGAATGTAAGGTTGCAGCAGCAGCAGCAGCAGCAGCAGCAGCGTCGTAGTCTTGTAGAAGTTACAGAAGAGTTGAAGAGAGCGACCAGACCGACCACTTCGAGTTGGAGACTTGGAGTCGAATGCATTTATAATCAATCTCTACCGGGAGATTCAAGTAGCGTAGCTGAGAAGGCAAAATAGAAAATGTTCCCGTATGAGCCATACAGATCTGATCGATGGTTGTGGAGCCCTGAGGGTGTGGGGCCAATTCTGATCTCTAAAACCTTACTAAAACGTTGAGGGAGGTCATTATAGACATATCAAAACCGACTGAGACCGAAATTTTATACCATCTGGGTTTGGATTTCCGATCTTTGGGCTGGGCTCACCGGCTCAACCTTAGAATTCAGGCATTTTATGGGCCCAATTATATATTCCTACATAATATATAATGTATATATGTAAAAATTTGTATATATATATTTACATATATATATATATACATATGTGTATATATATATATATACATAAATGCATATATGTATGTATAATTTTGGAGTGGGTTCATTGGCCAACCCAATACCCGTTTAGGTTTGATCCCAACCCGAGTGCATCAAATTACAATGTAGATTAGGTTGGAAAGATCCCTTGGGCTTTAAGCCCAAATTTTAAGGTTGATCCAACCCAACCCGCCTAACTTGCACCCCTATCAAAAAGTAACCTATGTGATAGTTTTATCAGCATAATGAGTGACTTGGGCTTTTTGCACCATTAGGCCCATCAATGTTTTCAGAAAAATATATTACACCACTACAAGCAAGTGTGAAGTCTGGTCCTTTTTTTTATTGGCTTCATGGGACTAATGGGAATTCGGATCGGCTCTGACAGAGCACTCTTCACACCAACCTCATAGCATGTCCTAACTGCACATTGGGAACATCTCTCATACTTATATTTTAGTATTTATCATTCATGGGGAGATATTCCCAACACATGGTGGGATGTGGCTATGAGGTCGGTGTGAAGAGCGCTCTGTGATAAGCGTATGCCATCACACATAACAAGTAGCCCATCCCCCACCCTAGTGGCAGTGGGATTTGATCCCATATCTCTACTATAACATATCATCTGTTGGTTGCACAAAAACCTATTCATGGGCCGGGTCAAGCCAAGCTTTGTCTTTGTATCAACTGAATATATTCAGGCCCAAGCCTAAGCCCAGGCCGACCAGTGGGCCTAGGTCTTGAGCCCAACCTCATATAAAGCCCGAAGTCTGGGCTTGGCAAAAAAATTGGAAACAGTTTTTTTGTTCTTTTTATTAAACAAAAAGCATTTTATTTATATTAAAAGCCCTCAAAACCCATAAGTAATAAAAGACCTCACTAATACTTGAAAAAAATATGTTTTTACTATATAATATATATTATCAAGTTGGGCTCTTTTTTTTTTGAAAAAGCCCGAGCCTGAGCCCGCAAACCTAAAATCATGTCCAAGCTCGATATAGAGTGGGCCGGCTTTGCGGGCTACTTGGCCCATGAACAAGTCTAGTTGTACACAACTACGTGAGTGTGGTCAGCATAATATAAGGTTGGGCCTGGTGTTTTAGGCCCGAACTCGAGCCCACAAACCTAAAGCATGTTCAAGCCCAACTTAGAACGGGCAGACCCGACGACTACCCGACCCATGAACAAGTCTAATTGCACACGACTACATTAGTGTGGTCAACATAATATTATTTAGTTGAGCTTTTTTTTCGTGCTATAGACCCATATTATTACTTATGGTGATTTGCACCGAAAAACGTTTTGGCTCAAGGGCTAGTGCTTTTAGTGGTAGTGGCCTTGGAACAATCTATAGTACATTATATAGTGCTTTAAGTCCATGTTGACAGCTATCTGCTTCTCCCATTCCCCTTTCCATCTCTCATTCATTCATTCATTCTCTCTCTCCTCTCCCCTACCCAAGCCTCCCAATATGCCACATCAGCAAGGGAAGATCTCTCTCAAATCAAGAATCATATTATACATGGAAACGCAAGCAACTACGTACATGTACAAGAAACTTCACAAAATATTTTCCATCTCTTCCCCTTATTCAATACTCACATTTTTTAGGGCTTTTAATGTAAATAAAGCACTTATTGTATTGAATACAAAAGAAAAAAATTGTTTTCAAATTTATGAACGAGCTCAGGCTCAGGCCCAGGCTTTGGACTTTGCATGAGGGTCGGGTTTAAGCTCGGGCCTAAATATATTCTGTTGATACATAGGCAAAACTCAGCCTAGGGCTATCAATGGGTCGGGTCAGACCTGATAGACCAGATGAACTTGGACCGATTGGACCAGTTTTGGTTCCAAAACTTGTCTTGATGGGTTGGCTTCAGGTCTTAATAAAAATTCCCAATTACTATCAGGCCAAAACCGGGTCCATCTTGTCCTGAACCGATTTGGACCCGACGCTATATATGTATGTATGATTCATATATGCCATATTTAAACAACAAGATGGGGCTAAAGGTGTCATTTCGGTGGGGGTTTCTTTCAAAACCCTACCGAAATGCTGCCCACAACCCCCTAACTGTCTAACCCTTTTCGTTTTTGTCTTTCTGAAGAGTGAACTAAAGACTGGTCTTTCTTCTTTCACTCTTTCTCTGAATCTCTTCTCAATTCTCATTTGAAACTTGGAAAGTTGAGAGAGGAAGTTTTATCTAGACCTTCTGGTGACTTACTGACTCTGGTTCGATCTATCTCATCATCTAGAGAGTGGAGGCTGCGGGCTGAAAGCACATCGGTCATCGCACAACACAATCAACACTACAGTCGTTCGTCCGTCCATCAATAGTAAGTAGTAACTCCCTTTGTTACCCAATGGTCAATGACAAACTGAAATGTTGATTTTTTTTTTTATTGTGAAATCTTTGGTCTTCCTATATTTAAATATATATATTTTTTTACTGTTAAAATGTTAGATTGATTTTTTGATTGTCAAAAAACTAAAATGTTGCACGTTGGATTTTTAATGGGTGTTTCATCTACCTGCTTATGGAGTTATTGTCAACGATTTTTTTGAATACTTAACCTGTTGTTTGAATTAGTTATTTATCTCTAATCAGTGAACTGATTCTGATTGGTGATTAGTAGTTTTTCAATTCAACTTGTGTTTATCATAAGTGATAAAGAAAGTAACTATTATTTTATCAGGTTCTTTATTGTTTTTTAGCAGGGTTTTCGTTGCATTTTAGGCTTTTATAGGGTTTTTATTGCATTTTTAGTACGGATAGTATTAGCATGCATAGCATAATCGGGTCCATCGGGTTGGGCCCGACTGTCCCAATAACCGAACATTCTGGTTCTAGGTCCAAAATTACAGACCCAATAGGATCCGAGTCAGTTCCAGGTCCATGGGTTTCTTATCGGTTCTGGGATCGATTCTACCTAGTTTCGACCCGTTGACAGCCCTAGCCCATGAACAGGTTTAATCGTCACCCTGTTTTACAAATAAATTTCCAATACACTTCCTCCACTATTTTAGTCAAAGATGGAGTTTAGTTGGACAGAGGTAACAAAAGTTTTTTCCCTGCTAATGGTTGTTTTTTTTTTCATTGCTAACAATGGTTTACCATGTTTATAACATGGTCAGAGTTCACGTTCAGCTTTCTACTTCACTTTGTTTCCCAAGTTTTTCTTTTGTGCTCTTTTAATCTCCTACGTCTCTAAAGTAATTCGAGGATCTCTTCTCATTTGTTTGCATTTTTCATAGGTGATACTGAGAGGTTTGAGAGTCAGAGAAATCGGAAAATGACGATGGACCTTAGAACTATTTGAAGGGCTCTTCTCTATTAAGGGAAAAGCTCAATATCAGTTTTTTTTTAGCCGTTTAGATGTATTTTGTGGGATCCCATTAATGGTAGAGCGTAAGTCAATGACCAATTGACCAGGAATTCTACTATTCTATTAGCCTTTACCTAGAGGTTTTTTTGTTGCATTCCTAAATGTAACTACTAAAATCGTATGAAGTAATTAGCAATGTATTTTTATTGAATTTATGCACCCATGTGTAATGATTCTATTATATGTGTATTCAAGCTATTATGTAATGTTGAAATGGTTTATTTTTTGAAAGGTAAACAAAATATATTAGCTAGGAAGAAGGGTAACAAAGTCATTTACATTTGGTATCCCTTGAAGATAATTATCAACCAAAAAATTATCTTGCGGATGGGATTTTGCTTGATGAGCTATTTCATGTGCAGGATAATTAAAAGTTCTTTTTACAAATACAATCTCAACAGACTGATAAAGTATGTTTTATCGTAGCCAAAAGCCTCAGGCATGACCAATGGAGAGACCCATGATTCTTTAATGCCTTAACGACTTGTTGAGAATCCGAGCATAAGATTAAGCTTTGTTTTAATAACCATAATGTCTATTGTAGACCTTGCAAAGTGGCACGTAATTCAGCCTCTTCCACGGAATTCAACTTTACTCTTCCTCCTATAATACAAAGACACTCAAGATTTGTTGATAAGTAAATAACTCCACAAGTAAAAGAAGAGGAATGGATAGTGTTTGTATATGTAAAGATGATACAATCTGTGGAATTGTGTATTTGTGTAAAGAGAGAGAGAGAAGGCTGCAGCATGATGTTGTATTGGAGTGACTTGATGCTACTGAAAGTTTCTTCTTTTAAAGACAGTATTGATTTTTTATAACAACCACTGAGTCGACAGTTTTCTGTCTTTAAAACATTTCTCATCTCGAGCAAACCAAATGTACTAAAGAGTAATCACATACCAACTTAGAACTTGAGTAGTTAAAACCTTATCATGAAGATTTTTAATTTCGCAAATGCAGTTAAGCTAGGAGGATGAAAATATAGCATTTAGATTTATATTTCAAGGTGTCGCAAATAAAATCACTTGAGTTTGGGGACATTCAAGGAATATATGATTAATAGTCTTTGGCTCAGTCTGACATATAGGGCAGTTGCACTCTTGAGTGCTATCAAAAATCTTGTTTCTTACTGGGGAAAAATTGTTAATCACTCTCCAATGAAACATTTAACGTCGGGGAGGTATTGGGAGGGTCCAGATCCTCTTCTTGCAAGTTTTGAGACTGTCGAAAGGGTTTAGATTCATGGGGGATTCTAGCAATTTATATGCCTGTTTGGTAGTAAATTTCCCTGATGGATGAGGTAACCAGATCCAGCTTGGTGAGTGATTTTCAGGAAAGATGAAGGTGTTTAGAATGTTTTGGTACTTGTCTTTATCAAAGTATTTAAGTAGGTTTACATTCTAATTGCCATTGGATATGGAATATGAGAAAGTCAAGTTCTCGATAGTTTGGATAGGTGGGAGGTCAATCATTTGGGGGTTTGGATCCAAGGCACTTGCGCAATTGATTAATTAGAATCAGTAGAAACCAAAAAACCTACTTGTTGAGATAGATTACGAAGTTGGGGAGCAGTGGATTTCCAAAAGAATGAGCCTTATCGAGAAATGATATAAGGAAAGAAGCTCTTGCTTTTAAGATATTTGACTTTCCAAACCAAAGTCCAAAGTTTATGTTGTTCATTCACAAATCTCCAGGCTATCTTTGTCAGTAAAACTTGATTGACAAGCTTGATGTTTCTAAAATCCAAACCCCACAGGTTTCTTGGTTTGAATAATTTATGCTAGGAACACCATCTGTATGGGAAAGGGTTGGTCTCAGATTTGTCCCACCAAAAGTTCTTGATTGTTTTTTCAATGCTTTCCAAAGTTTTCTTTGGAATTTGGATTATACTCAGTGTGTGGATGGATATGGCTTGTATGATTGATTGAGTTAAGACCCGCTTACCCGCCTGACTTAAAAGTAGTGGCTTTCCAATTATTTAAGCGAGATTTTAAGTTACCAAGCACAAAGGATAAGTGAGTGTTTATTTCTTGGCCAACATAGGGGAATTCCCAAGTATTTGAGTTAGGCTGGAGGTTTTTCATCTAGAGTTGCTTCCTTATCATTCGTTGACGTCGAGGGTGAATATTTTTGCTGAAATGAATTCCTAATTTATCAAGGTTCATGAGTTGACCTAATACGTTTTGGAATTGATTCAGAAGATCTCGCGTGTTATCCAACTCCTCACAGTGAGCTCGAAGGAAAGGAATTTGATTTTTGTCTCCATAAACTCCTAAGCTGAATTTGTGTGTCCTCAAATTTCTTATAAACATGCTTTTGGTCCCAAGGTGACGATTGTTCAATCTCTATAATTTGTTTTTCTAGCTCAGCCAAGGTTTTGTTTCGGTCAATGAATTTTGAGTGTCTCCATCTAATTAGGTATGACTTAATACGGTCCAATTTAAGAGATAATATATAAGCAGCAAAACCATTGACTTGAAGGTCCCACCCATCCTTAATGATGAAATGGTCTGAATTTGTTTGTTGATAAAATCCATATTACTTATAAAAGTGAGAATGAGGAGGTATTGGCTTTTGGAATTTTTCTTTACTAAAATACCCATCCTCTTGAGTTTAGTTCATCTCCATTGAAATGGTATAAAATGTAATTAAAAGAATACCATTAAGTATATTCAATTACATTTCATTAAGCCTCACATTTAAGTCATTAAATAAATCATATTCTCCCTCATTGAATCCAACATCTATACTTTTGTTTATCATCATTAAATTCTACTAATAAATCCATACACAATAATTATTAATAGAATAAAATTTTATATTTTTAAAATAAACATAAAAATGAAATCATATTTTCCATCTAGGTGGTGGGTAAGTAGTTCAACCATTTGGGTCAAATGGATAATTTCATGATGTCATAAATAAATAATACAAATTTAGAAATATAAAAAATACTTTTGTTTATCATCATTAAATTCTACTAATCCATACACAATGATTATTAATAGAATGAAATTTTATATTTTTAAAATAAACCTATAAATGAAATCATATTTTCCATCTAGGTCGTGGGTAAGTACTTCAACCATTTGGGTCAAATGGATAATTTCATGATGTCATAAATAAATAATACAAATTTAAAAATATAATATATACAAAAATATAGAAAAAAATAAATTTTGAAAAAAATGGAACACATTTCTATTATTATATATTTGTCATATTAAAAAACAACTATGATAAAATAGACAATTTTATTAATGATGGACATCAAATATACAACTTAAAACCTATGGGAAATTAAACCATCTTCCTATTTACGGGGTGGGTTAGTGGTTCAACCTTTCAAGTCAAATAGGTTAACCCATGATGTATAATTAAAAATAATTTTTTTTTTAAATAAAATAGCACAAAAAAATATGAAACAATTTTGGGCACGTCTATAATATTATATACTAATAATATAAACAAAAATAAGTATGATAAATAATAATTATTTTATCAATGATATAAACGGAATGCAAAATTTAAAACCAATTTGAAAATAAAACCATTTTCATATCTAAATAGTAGGTAGGTCAATGATCTAACATTCTGGGTCAAATGGGTTAATCTATGACGTCATAACTAAGTAACGAATATATATACATACCTACATAAATATATATAAACTCAAAGAAAAATATAAGCTTTGTATAAATAATTTTGATACAATTCTATTGTTATATGTTCACCATATTAAGCAAAAATAAATATGAAAATAATAATTACTTTTATCGATGATGGAAATAGAATACATGATTTAAATTCAACCGAAAAAGCAAAATGGTTTTTCAATCCAAGTGATTGATTAGTGGTTAAATTGTCCATGTCAAATAGATGTTATTATTAAATAATAAAATACATAAAGTTATATAAAATGTAGAAATTTGTCTATAATTTTGGGTACATTCTATAATATTATATATTCATCATATAAAAAGTGCGATTAATGAGAATTATTTTCGTTAATGATAGAAATGGGATAAAAATTAGGAATAAAAAATAAATAGCATTAATGTCTAACACATGACCCAACTAACCATGTCAAATGGTTCAATAATTTAATTAGCTAGATCATCGTATGCAACTGGTTTGGTAGGGATGCAAACAGATCAAATCATATTTGAATTAGGGTATATTCAAATCTGATATAATCCAAAGATTCGACCGATCTCATAAATATTGATTCAAATCTGAATCTAATCAAGATGTCAAATATTCGAATCTGATACGATCCTATTTAGTTGCTTAAAAAAGTAATAAATTATTAAAATAAAAATAAAAATATAACAGTTGAAATAAAAAACAAAAATATAAGTATTTTTTCAACTATWTCCATCATATAAAAAGTTTACAAAAATGCAATATAAATAACATATTTATAAATAAATAATAAATAACATATATATTATATATAAATAATATATACTATAATATAAACAACTGATTTGACCACAATATTAAAAACAATATATCGGAATTGCATTTCCTCTTGGTAAATAAGTAATTTTTATTATCTCATAAATTAAATAATAAAAAATAAAATATATTTGAAAAAATGAGAATTATTGTTAGTAAATATTGAAATGGCTAAAATACAAAGAAAAAATGAATTAATGTCTTAATCATAGTCCATTTTCCTGGTTAAATAGGTTAATGGTTCAACCAGTAAGGTCCTTTGGTTACTGATTATTATCATCAACATCATTTGGTATTGCCATGTATAAAAATAAATGCGGAAATAAGAATTACTTTTATTGATGATGAAAATATAAAACATGATTTAAAATCAACCAAAAAAGAAAAAATGGTTTTTCCATCCAAGTAGTGGGTTAATGGTTCAACTATCCATGTCAAATTGATAAACACATGATGTTATTATTAAATAATAAAATACATAAAATTATAGAAAATTTAGAAATTTATAGATAATTTTGGGTACATTCTATAATATTATATATTCATCAATAAAAAAAAGTATGATTAATGATAATTATTTTCACTAATGATCGAAATGGAATGAAAATTAGGTTAAAAAAAAACAAAAGCATTAATGTCTAACACATTACCCCACTAACCACGTCAAATGGCTCAATGATTTAATTAGCTA